CTGTCAGTATGCTCCAATTTATAGGGTAGGCAGGCTCCCAGAGTGGGTGTGAGGCCTTTAGTTCGGTCTGGGTCTTCTGCTCGGCGCAGTCGGTAGCTGAGAGTCGAGTTGCTTGGGATCGCAGCTCAAAGTGGGTGGTAAGCTCCATCTAAGGCTAAATACTTGCACGAGTCCGATAGCGAACAAGTACCGTGAGGGAAAGTTGAAAATAACTTTGAAGAGAGAGTTCAAGAGACCGTGAAAGCGCCTACGGGCAAACGGGTGGAACCGCCGGTGCGATCAGCGGAATCCAGCCCGCCGGGCAGGCGGCTCCTGGTGGCGATTGCAGACTTGTCCTTCTCGGAGGACGGGCTCGTCTTTCTCAATCAATAGTCGATTATAATTATTAGAAGGTGGCTAACGCTTGTCACGACCATCTCCGCTTCAGACGATTTTCTAAAATTTACCGTAATGAATCATGATCCAAACCTTATATGAATCGTTTCAATGAATATTTTCCCTTCACTCAAGACCTATTTTATATCTCCCTCAGTGTTCCTCTGCATGCTAATCTTACTATTGTTCAATAAAAAAACTAAAAAAAATTACGCCCCTCGTTTCAATGTATCTACTTCCGGTTGATCTGACAATAAATGTATATCGGTCGATACGATTGGTCAGCTATAATTACCTGTCGAGTAAAAACCAAAGTGAAAGTCAAAACATGGTTATTGACTTATCTATTTATTTAATTACTAAGAAAAATTCTTTAAAAATATATAAGTAATGAAAATAGCATATAGTAATTTTACAGCATCTTTTTTTTTCACAAAATAGATAACATTCTGCCCTGAAACACACCAACCGGAAGTAGATATCTTGAAACGATGGGTGTAAATATTTTTAGTATTTTTATTGAACAATAGTTAGATTAGCATGAAGAGAAACACTGAGGGAGATATAAAATAGGTCTTGTGTGAAGGGAAAATATTCAATGAAACAATTCATATAAGGTAGGGATTATGATTCATTACGGTAAATGTTAGAAAATTTTCTGAAGCGGAGATGGTCGTGACAAGTGTTAGCCACCTTCTCATATATATACTATTATAGTGAGAGTCGACTATTGATAGAAACAGATGCCCGTGGGTAGGCTTATATACTCCTACTGGCATTACTTGAAAAATCAAAATATATTCATAATATTAATGATATTTAGTTTATCAAACACTGTCATGAAAATTAATGACCTTTTATGCTACGGTATTAAAAATTACAAATATTAAATCCACCCTGAATGGAAGAATGAAGAAGTTTGTAAGAAAGTTTCCTAAGAGTGCGGGCACACAACAGTCTTGGTCGCCGATTTTTGTTGCCGACTCGAATCTTGAGTGAAATAGCACGCGTGCCCGCGCTTCAACGACAAGAAGCGTTGGCGATAGGATTTATAATATCAAGTTTGATACTTGCCGCCGAGCGTCTGTATCCAATTAAATTCAATTTCCTTTTAATCGCATGATCCGCACGTGATTGAAAACAACCGACTCTCGTGTGCCCACAGCCGGTCAGTGAAACTCTTGACTAGACTTTAGAAGACTGTTCGTGTGCATCTTAAATGTGCCAAAGCCATTGACTTACTGTACTGTGGGTTTTTAACAAATTGTATCAAGTCATCAGTTGGTCTAGCCCCACCGCAACCACCATCACCTCTTAATTGTACAACAAAATTGTTTCTATTTACTGTAAAATGTGGTAACCATCCTGCTGCTGTCCATGTTGTCTGTAAAAATATGAAAAATAACCATTTATAACGCCTAGCACAGCACACAGTTCGGGACACAGTGTAGAGAGAACGTACCTTTATAAAAACGCTTGGCCAAGAATGAAAGTAGTTATCAATATTTTTTTTAGCCTTGCAACTACATGTATTACAGATGGAGTCATAAAATTGTTGTATCTTATAATTGCTATCGTTACTTTCGCCTGTCCGTTTTTAGCTAATTTACTGACAGGATATCGAAGTTTTATTCTGAAAAGCGACATTGATAACTGTGTCGTTTTGTATTTAGATGACCTAATTTAATATGTTTGAGATTCACCAAAAATACTTACCGAGTTACTGATCATTAGTCCTGTATTAGTTACATCTATTGTTGATCTTCCTCTCAAACACGTGTTTGCATTTTGTATACTACAGCAAAACACCCAGCCATACGGCCTCTTAGCTCCAGAATGTTGAATGGTAAATGTGTAATCATAGATTATGCTGGACATTTTCTGAAGCGAATCAAACATGACGGGTTAAAGAAGACGGTATGCAATGGAAGGTACAAAAATTAATTATTTTCATTTTTCTATAAGAATATAATAATAATAATAATGATAATAATGAAACTTTCAAGAACGTACAAAAAATTTTTCTTCTACATTGACAAATAAAAATAATAATAATAATAATGATAATAATAATAATAATAATGAAATCATTGATAAATGCTGATGATGATGATGAGTGGATGACGGTGAATGAATGCTAATGATAAAGTACGAAGAGCAACATCACCGACGATGACGATGATAACGATTGTGACGGATGCTAGTATAAACTTACCTCTGTATCAATACCAACTTTTGTGAAAGTTGTCTTTCCTTGTTCCGA